CTCCTCCTTCAGCCTCCCAAAGTGCTGGGATTGCAGGCATGAGTCATCGTTCCCAGCCAAGAAACCCCTTTTCTTAATTGTAACCAGAATGCATCTTCTTGGACACCGAGATACTGTTTCACTGTAAACTCAAATGTCCTGACATCCGTCTCCTGTCAACTGGCCATTTATAGAAAACCCCTAGGTGAAAGAGGAAGCTTTGCATCTCCCAATCAGCGTAACTGGTTAGTCCCCTTGGAATTCCCATGGGGTCAGGACACAGTTGTCATTGTAGTTGTCATTGTTTCCAGGGTTAACTGTCATAAGCACGAGGAATGTTAGTTTAAAGCGATCTGGATATTCAGTTTTGTGTTCCGGCTATTTATGTGACCAATTTCCTACCTGGTGTTTGTTCAGAAGAGTGAAAAATATTTCAGGTGCTCTCTCTTCTAAACCGTGGCAAACCACACTCTGTTAAGACAGCACAGAAGACTGAGGAAGAAAAACGTTTATGAAACATTTTGCTTTGGTCTGCCTCATGAGAAGTAATTGTACTGGTCATTTCTTTTTCCACTGAATTGACTGGTGTCTCTGACATGGTGCCTGGTGAGCCACACTGGCTTTATCATCTCCTCTTCTCTCCTTTTTCAGGGTCTTTGGCCATAGTCCACAGAGAATTACACTTTCCCTGTTAGAAGCTCACGTCTTTCTTCTCTTGGGCCACTTCCATGCCAGCCTCTTCCACACTGCCTTCCTGAGGTCGGGCACCGGCATGGAGCTCTGTTTCCTCTTCTCCTCCCTAGGGTCGTAATCTGGCTTTCCCCTGATCTTTCTATTGTTTCCACTTCACCAGTGATTTCCTCCTTTTTGTCCAGAAATAGGTCAGGATAAGAAATTCCTCTTTTTTACTTCTTTAGGCTTCTTGTTAACAAAGTAAAACAAGGTTAAACACCTTATTCAATGTTCAGCCTTTTTTTTTTTGAGTCTGGGTCTTGCTCTGTTGCCCAGTCTGGAGTACAGTGGCTCCAGCCATTCCCCTACCTCGGCCTCCCAAGTAGCTGGGACCACAGGTGTGTGCCATCGCATGCAGCTAATTAAAAAAAAAAAAAAATCTGTAGAGACAAGGTCTCGCCATGTTGTCCAGGCTGATCTCGAACTCCTGGGCTCAAGTAATGCATCCTCCTCGGCCTCTCAGAGTGCTGGGATTACAGATGCGAGCCCCTGCACCCACCCAAAGGTCAACTTTTAACTGCCTGAAAATTTCTTTTGTTTTCTTTTTTTTTTTTTTTTTTGAGATGGAGTCTCGCTTTGTCACCCAGGCTGGGAGTGCAGTGGCGTGATCTCAGCTCACTGCAAGCTCTGCCTCCCGGGTTTATGCCATTCTCCTGCCTCAGCCTCCTGAGTAGCTGGGACTACAGGTGCCCGCCACCTCACCTGGCTAGTTTTTTGTATTTTTTAGTAGAGACGGGGTTTCACCGTGTTAGCCAGGATGGTCTCGATCTTCTGACCTCGTGATCCGCCCGTCTCGGCCTCCCAAAGTGCTGGGATTACAGGCTTGAGCCACCGCGCCCGGCCTAACTGCCTGAAACTTTTGATAGGTCAGAGAGATGAATTCTCTCATTCACAACACACAGTCAGAATTACCTTAGCTTAGGAGTTCAGGCCACAGAACATTGGTGTCACACAGACATGGGCTCAAAAGCTGCAATTACACAGTGGCATTTTGTGGATTTTTTTGGTAGAGATGGAATCTCACTAGGTTGCCCAGGCTGGTCTCAAACTTCTGGCCTCAAGCAGTCCACCCACCTCAGCCTCCCAAAGTGTTGGGATTACAGGCGTGTTTTGAATCTTGGGGACCAACTGGGATTCTCTTCTCCTCTTTATCTTCTGTATCCAATCCAGCCCCTGCCATTTCTTTTTTTCTGGTGCCTCTTGGGTTTGCTGTTTCCTCTCCTTTCCCATTCTCTTACATTAAACAACACTCCTCTTGTCATGCTCCAAAACCTCAAATCTGAACTTTTACTTCTCCTATCGCAGAAACTTCCCACACTCTAACTGCTTATTACCCCTCTACCTTCACCACCAAATTGTAAATTCTGTGAGAACAGAAACCCAGTTTTTTGAATTTGCTGTTGTGTCCTCAATTTCCATCACAAACACTTTCTAACATTGACAGTTGAATGAATGAATGAATGAATGAATGAGTTCTTGAATTGCTACGACTGCCTTTAAAATTCCAGTAAACTTTTGCTGCCATCAGCAGGTGAATATAAAACACTGTTCATAGGCCAAGGCACCATGACTCATACCTGTTATCCCAGCACTTTGGGAGGCCGAGGTGGGAGGATGGCTTGAGACCAGGAGTTTGAGACCAGCCTGGGCAACATAGTGAGACCCCATCTCTACAGAAAAATTACATAAAATAAAATAAAATTGAGGCTAGGTGCAGTGGCTCATGCCTGTAATCCCAGCACTTTTGGAGGCCAAGGAGAGAGGATCACACGAGGTCAGGAATTCAAGATGAGGCTGGCCAACATGGTGAACCCCATCTCTACGAAAAATACAAAAATTAGCCAGGCGTGGTGGCGTGCACCTGTAATCCCAGATACTTGGGAGGCTAAGGCACGAGAATCACTTGAACCCAGGAGGCAGAAGTTGCTGTGAGCCAAGATCGTGCCACTGAACTCCAGCCTGGGTGACAGAGCGAGACTCCATCTCAAAAAAAAAAAGAAAAAAAAAGTTTTTTTGCAATGCTCAGGGCAGTATGCATTGTTATAGAAAATAAGTAATTTGTATTTTTAAAATGTATAATTCATCCCACCACTTTGGGAGACTGAGGCAGGCAGATCACGAGGTCAAGAGACTGAAATCACCCTGGCCAATATGGTGAAACCCCGTCTCTACTAAAACTGCAAAAAATTAGCCAGGTCTGGTGGTGGGCACCTGTAATCCCAGCTATTCAGGAGACTGAGGCAGGAGAATTGCTTGAACCTGGGAGGCGGAGGTTGCAGTAAACCGAGATGGTGCCACTGCACTGCAGCCTGGGCGACAGAGTGAGACTCCGTATCAATAAATAAATACATAAATAAAATAAGTAAACAAAATACTGTTCATGATATTCTGCTCCCGTGAGAGGCTCGCTGTTCCTCCTCACTGTGGCCCTATGACTTCCTGTCTGGCACCTTCAGTTGCTTCTTTGTCTCCTCCTTGGATGCCTTTTCTTTTGCCCTCTTACCAAAACCAACTCATTCATGAGAATCCAGCTCGAGCTCTACCTCCTCTATGAAGCCCCTGAACCTTTCCCACCAACACAGACCTCTGCCTTCTTTGATCATCTGCTGGTCTTCAGTTTAATGCTTTAACGATTCCACTTGTATGGATCCTGTCTACCCACCCAGTTTAGGTATATTTGAAGATAGCTATACTTTTTAGGTCTTTTGCATCCTCCACACTTCTCGTCTAAAGCTGCGTCCATTCTGACTCGTCTTCCTAACCTACCAGGCAGGGTCTTTTTGTTTTTTAAACTTTAAGTAGGCTGGGTCGGGCATGGTGGCTCATGCCTGTAATCCCAGCACTTTGGGAGGCCAAGGTGGATGGATCACAAGATCAGGAGATCAAGACCATCCCGGCTAACACGGTGAAACCCCATCTCTACTAAAAATTACAAAAAATTAGCTGGGCATGGTGGCAGGTACCTGTAGTCCCAGCTACTCCGGAGGCTGAGGCAGGAGAACGGCGTGAACCTGGGAGGCGGAGCTTGCAGTGAGCCGAGATCGCGCCACTGCACTCCAGCCTGGGCGATAGAGCAAGACTCTGTCTCAAGAAAACAAACAAACAAACAAACAAAACAAAAGACTTTAAGTAGGCTATGTGAAGGTTGAGTTAGCTATCTTCGGAACAAGCCTTAGATATCTTTTTCTGTTTGAAGGGAATTTATTTTCTTTTTCTCCAATTTTGTTACTGTGAGTGCATGAAGGCATATTCAACAGCTCCTTGCTCCCCTGCCTCTCCTGCACCATCCAACATCTCACTGCAGTATCCAGCAACCCACAGGCCTGCTGGGCGTGGTGGACAGTCCCCAAGATCGGGTTATCCGTGTCAAAATATTGAGTGGTTGATGAGTGCTCCAAGTAGGCACTAGAGCCTGCGAGAGCACTCAGAAGTTTCTGCACAAGCTCAGTGGATTTGAGCCCTCATCATGGTTCATTGCTATGTAAGTCAAGGGTTGGTCATAGGTCCTGCCTTGGACCATCATTTCAGGAAGCAGGGCAGCTACAGCAGCAGTCCTCAACGTTTTCAGCACCAGGGATCCATTTTGTGGAAGACAATTTTTCCATAGATTGGGGGTGGGGGTTGGTTTTGGGATGAAACTGTTCCACCTCAGATCATCGGGGATTAGATTCTCATAAGGAGCACAGGACCTAGATCCATCCCTGGTATGCGCAATTCACAGTAGGGTTTGTGCTCCTGTGAGACTTAATTCCTCTGCTGCTCTGACAGGAGGCGGTAAAGCCGGCTTGCCTGCTGCTCACTTCCTGCTGTGTGGCCCCGTTCCTAACGGGCCATGGACAGGTACCAGTCTGTGGCCAGGGGGTTGGGGACCTCTGAACTACAGGCTCCTCCACCTGCACAAGATCTGAGAAGTCAGACTATCCAGAACAAGAGGGGCAGGAACTTCCATGTCTCACTGAGGATCTTCGGTCAATCCCAACTCTCAGTGGGCATGAGACTCACATGGTGATCATCTTAAAATGCAGATTCTGAGTCAGTGATTTGAGATGGGACCTGAAATCTTGCAATTGTAACAAGCTCCCAGATGATACCAATGGCGATGTTGATGCTGCCTGTCTGTGGACCACACTTTGAGTAGCAAGGGTCTAGAATATGGACATCTCCTTTTCCAGTGAACTTTAGCAAGTAAGGAGCATTTCAAGGAAGACTCCTCCCATGCACACTGTCATTAGTTGCAGCATCTCTTGTAGCAATCAGGCTAAATCTGTCTTTAATTCTTTTTCAAACAGCGTATCCAAGTTTTGCAATCATAAGCACCAGCCAGGAGAATATATATTCCATGCAGAAAATGGTGATGCCCAATTTACCAAAATGTTCACGCTGAATATAAGAAGTAAGTTAAATTGCCAAGAATTTAATTTTTATTTTTTAATTCCTTAATTCTTTATTAGTCTTAACTAGGAAGAGCTAAGTAATGGCTTAGAAGGGGTACTAAAAACTGTTTTTGTATGCTGAAGTATTTTGAAATTTTACTTTCATATCTACTGGCATCGATCATATATCTCTTTATTTTTTTATGTTATTTTGTTTTGTTTCATTTTTAACACCAGGTCTCACTCTATCATGCAGTCTGGGGTGCCATGGCACAATCATAAATCCCCATAGCTTCAAACTCCTGGGCTCAAGTGATCCTCCTAACTAAGCCTCCCACGTAGCTGGGACTACAGGCACACTCCCCCATGCTTAGCTAATTTTAAAACCATTTTTGTAGAGAGGGGGCCTCCCTTTGTTGCCCAGGTTGATCTCAAATTCCTGGCCTCAAGGGATCCTCATACCTTGGCCTCCCAAAGTGCTAGGATTACAGGCGAGAGCCACTGCACCTGGCCATAGATCTCTTTCTGTGTGTATCCTCAGAGGCCGAAAGACTTATTTCACATTGTCTCTGAATTGGAATTCGTGTTGTGACTTTATTGATTTTAGTATTTTGAAAGGGCATGTTAAGGAAAGGCTGAAAGTCATTTTCTCTCTCATTTATTTGTTTTTAATAATTTTCATTTCTTTGGCTTACAAAACAACAAGAAGTCCAACTTCTCCTGAAGCTGAGAATCATTTTAAGGCGTGCAAGCAGGTGGAGGTCTGTACCTCAGCTCTCTCCAGGGGGAGGCTGGCAATGGGAAAATGGTGTGTAGCAGAGAGGTATCAGGGCTGCCCAACCAGAAGCTTGCATGGCAAGGAGGAAAGAAGAAATTACCAGAGGTCTGGAGTCATTCTGAGTGAGACATCCTCCCAGAAGCACAAACTGCCCTGGCGTAAATGGGTAGCCTGTACTGTAGGCAACTTTGAAACTATTTCCAGAAAGTACCGTGCTCCATGAGCTTATTTTATTTTATTATTTTCAGAGACAGGGTCTTGCTATGTTGCCCAGGCTGGTCTTGAACTCCTCGGCCCAAGTGATCCTCCCACCTTGGCTTCACAAAGTGTTGGTATTATAGGAGCGAACCACTCTGCCCAGCCAGTGAGCTTATTTCACACGTTTTCTTTTCTGTAGGGAAACCTCAAGTGCTCGCGGAAGCATCAGCGAGTCAGGCGTCCTGTTCCTCGGATGGATACCCATTACCATCTTGGACCTGGAAGAAGTGTTCAGACAAGTCTCCCAAGTAATAAGGACATTGATGTCTCTTATAATGGAAGAACGTAAAACTCTGACATATTGACTCTTTCATGAACACAGTTTAAGAAGAAATGATGAAATATTTAAAATGCTAATGTTCTCAATCAACCATAATTCTCAATGGTCAAAGATTGTTTCTGATAGCTTATACTGGATGAATCTCTTTTAGAATTCGCTGCAGAAACCCTAACTTCCCATCTGATGACAGCTCACCTGTCTAAATTCTTTGCCATTTTGTTTTTTTCAGCTGCACAGAAGAGATCCCAGAAGGAGTCTGGAATAGAAAGGCTAACAGAAAAGTGTTTGGACAGTGGGTGTCAAGCAGTACTCTAAACATGAGTGAAGCCATAAAAGGGTTCCTGGTCAAGTGCTGTGCCTACAATTCCCTTGGCACATCTTGTGAGACAATCCTTTTAAACTCTCCAGGTACCACAATTGCTATTGTAATACTCCACCATCAGGAATTCCCCACGAGAAGTTAGTCCCCATCGCTGACTTTTACTTGGGGAATTTTACAGGAGAGTATAGGGTCAGTGTATGAGAAAAGGTTTCTTGAGTCAGGCAAGAATCCCCAGACAGACTGTTTCGCAGGTTGGGGCGGAGTCCTGCCTGCGCCCTCGTGACTCATCTGTCACAGTGATGGGGAGAAGCGGAAACTCCCGGTGTGGCGAATCTCCATGCAAAGATCGAACTTTAGAGAGACAGATTTTGTCACTTGGAGTCTCTGTCATTTTCCCTTCTGACTAGCTTCCTTATTTGCCCTTAGCCTGCTGTTTTGTAATTTTTGGTTTGCTTTTTAGAGCCCTCCTAAGTTAAACAATTCTGAAACCTGGCTGCCCACCCTTATAATTAGGATCACCAACCTCACAAAACTGACTTCTCCACTTTTATGTGAGACCTTCATAAAAGGGATATGAACTTCTTTTTTCTCTGACTTGTACATCCTGTAGGTTTAAATTCATGGTTTTTGTTGTTGTTGTTGTTGTTTTTGAGATGGAGTCTCACTCTGTCGCCCAGGCTGGAGTGCAATGGCGTGATCTTGGCTCACTGTAACCTCCGCCTCCAGAGTTCAAGTGATTCTCCTGCCTCAGCCTCCCAAGTAGCTGGGATTACAGGCACCTGCCACCACGCCCAGCTAATTTTTGTATTTTTTTCTAGAGATGGGGTTTCACCATGTTGCCTGGGCTGGTCTCTAATTCTTGGATTCAAGTGATCCTCCCACATTAGCCTCCCAAAGTGCTGGGACTGCGGGTGTGAGCCATCGTGCCTGGCCCAGATGTAATTCATGTAACCCTAGTAAATGGTTTTAAAGAATGGATTCAGAATAATCTGCAGTTTCTAGGGAGGAAACGTGTCCTTTACAGGGACATTGCCTGATTGTCTGTGGGGAGTAGAGTATATGCGGAATGGTTGTGAGGACTGACAATGATTATTACTGAAACAGGATGTGAGAGATTATAATGAGTTGTCCACTATTTATAAAGTTGCACAGGAATTCTGTTTCATCATCGCTGAGTGACACTCTTTGGTTGCAGGCCCCTTCCCTTTCATCCAAGACGGCATCTCATTCTATGCAACAATTGGTGTTTGTCTCCTCTTCATTGTCGTTTTAACCATGCTGATTTGTCACAAGTACAGAAAGGTAAAAGCAAAGGTAAAAATTCATTATTCTTTCCTCCATCTGCAGAACTGCCTATTCCTAACTGACTCATCATTTCATCTCTGAAGCAATTTAGGTATGAAAGCCAGCTACAGATGGTACAGGTGACCGGCTCCTCAGATAATGAGTACTTCTACGTTGATTTCAGAGAATATGACTATGATCTCAAATGGGAGTTTCCAAGAGAAAATTTAGAGTTTGGTAAGAGTGGAATGTGCCAAATGTTTCCGCAGCATTTCTTTTCCATTGGGAAATCTTTCAAATGCACGTACTCACCATTTGTCTTTGCAGGGAAGGTGCTAGGATCAGGTGCTTTTGGAAAAGTGATGAACGCAACAGCTTATGGAATTAGCAAAACAGGAGTCTCAATCCAGGTTGCGGTCAAAATGCTGAAAGGTACAGTATAGTGGAAGAACAGCAACAAAGATGCACAAAAATGGGAGGCACGGTTTCCCACCGTGCCTTCTTCTCTTTTCCATCCTTTCAATGGTTACTGTTTGCCATGTTTCGAGGCTAAAAATGGAGTGGATTGGGATGAGTGTCAACCCAGTCATGAATACAAAATTCAAGTCATAAGTACAAAACTCCACCTCTTCTTCCACTTCTCTCTTTATTTTTATTTTATTTTATTTTCTTGAGATAGGGTCTCACTCTGTCACCTAGGTTGGAGTACAGTAGTGTGATCATGGCTCACTGCAGCCTCCGCCCCCTGGGCTCAGGCTCCTCAGCAGCTGGGGATACAGGCACGCACCACCATGCTCGGCTAATTTTTGTATTTTTGGTGAAACAGGGTTTCACCATGTTGCCTAGGCTGATCTGAGCTCAAGCTATCTGCCTGCCTCGGCCTCCCAAAGTGCTGGGATTACAGGTGTGAGCCACTGTGCCGGGACTATTTAGTTTTTATAGGCTTTGATATTTGGGGATACAGTTGCCACAGGCAGAAGTTCTTTCTTACATCTGTGTTGTTGTTGTTTTGTTTTATTTTTAGAGACAGGATCTTGCTCTGTTGCCCAGGCTAGAGTGCTTTGATCATAGCTCACTGCAACTTCGACCTCCTTGGCTCAAGCGATCATCTCACCTCAGCCTCTCGGGAGTGTGCCAATACAATTGGCTAATTTTGTTTTTATTTTTTTGTAGAGAGGGTGTCTCACCATATTGCCCAGGCTGGTTGCAAACTCCTGGCTCAAGTGAGGCTGCCTTGGCCTCCTAAAGTGCTGGAATTACAGGTGTGGGTTGAAACAGACTCTGGGTAGGACAGTAAATTGGGGCCCTTCGTATCCTCACTTCATTGCTCCATCCATTTTGATCTGGCGTCCAGCCCCATTGTTGGCCTCCCCATTATCACTGCTGACTCAGCAAAAGCACCTCCAGCTGGCTCTCTTGCTAAGGTCAACAGTGACCTCAAACCAAGCCTAATGGATATTTGTCAGTCATCATTACTTGATTGTTCAGCATGAATTGATGCTGTTGACTCTTTTCTCCATCTAGAAACTTTCTTTCTTTGGGTTTTGTGTCGCCGTATTCTGGTTTTCCTCCCACCCCTCTGCCCTTCTCAGTCCTTTGTGAGCTCATCTTTTTCCATCCAGCTTTGGTTGCTGTGGCTGTTTTTGAAACACAGCCTTGCTCTGTCACCCAGGCTGGAGTTCAGTGGTGTGATCTCAGCTCACTGCAACCTCCACTTCCCAGGCTCAAGCCATCCTCCCACTTCAGGCTCCTGAGTAGGGGGAACTACAGGCTTGCGCCACCATGCCTGGCTAATTATTGTATTTTTGGTAGAGATGGGGCTTTGCCATGTTGCCTAGGCTCCATCCAGCTTTTTAGGGGGCATCCCTGTAGGCTTGCTCCTGGACCGCCTTGCATTTCTGCTCCACACACTCAACACAGTCCATCCCCACTATGCCCGTGATGTCCTCCCATACACCAATGGCCCTCATGCTTGCATCTCGCTTCAGAGCTTCAGGTTCACGTATTAAATGTTTGGATGTCTCAAAGTTTCCTTTAACACAGTGTATCCAAGGTGAATTCCCCTAACCCTGGCCCTGCACCAGCGGTCCTCTCTGTGACTGGTAATGAATGCCAGTGAATAAATAACCACATTCTATAGAGTTGGGCACACTAGAAACCCGTGACTTTTCCTTGACACCTTCCTCTTTCTGACACCCTGTGAGCCAATCCTCTCAGGTTTCCGCTTAGTGTCTCTTGATTCCATCCTCGTCCCTCCATCTCTATTACCACCACCCTAGTTCAAGGCTGTCTCCTGGACGAAAGCTTCCAAAGCAAGTTCCTGTATCCACTCTTGCCTCCCTTTGGTTTCTCCATGCTGAGGTCCAAGTGACAGTGATGAAAGGCTAAGCAGATCAAATGGCTTTCCTACTTCGCATTTCCTCCACCACACGCATGGCTAGGCTGCCGCCGCCTCCCCACCTCTTGTTCTCAGCACCCAGAGCACTGGCCTTCTTTCAGTTCCCCCAGCACTGTCCTCCCGCCCACTGTGGGGCCTTTGCACAAGTGGATCCTTCTGCTTCCCCTTCCCCTTTCATGTAGGTATCTCCCACTGCAACCTCAGATCTCAGCTTAAACACCACTTCCTCTGTCTCACGCCACAGACAATATTGAAGCCCTTCCAATGTGCGACGTTAGTTCTCTGCAGACTTTCCCCCGTAGAATCCGTCACCTTTGTCACGACATGTGTTTAATATCCAGTTGCTGTCCCATCTGCCCAGCAGCCCCTGTGCCTCATGAGGGCAGGGTCTGTGTCTGTGGTGCTGTGCTCTCTCCTTTCTCGACCTCTGCGCACTCTTTCACAACCCTCGGCACCGTTCTCCTCCCCCTCCACCATGGCCAGCTCCCGTTTTTCTTCAGGACTCAGTTTAGACATTGAATGCTCCTTTCCCCACCCCTGGAAGGCTAAGGTAGCTGTCCCTTTTGACCCTACAGAACCCCTGCATTCCTTTGCCAGTTTGCATTTTTTCTTTTCTTTTCTTTTTTTTTTTTTTTTTTTTTTTGAGATAGGGTCTCAGTCTGTCACCCAGGCTGGAGTGCAGTGGAGTGATCATAGCTCAATGCAAGCTTGAAGTCCTAGGCTGAAGTGATGGTCTCTCCACAGCCTTTCCAGGAGCTGGAACTACACGCATGCACCACCACGCCCAGCTAATTTTTATTTTATTTGATTTTTAAGTAGAGATGAACTCTCCCTATTTTTCCCAGGCTGGTCTCAAACTCCTGGGTACCAGCAATTCTCCCGCTTGCCTCAGCCTCCCACGATGTTGGGATTACAGGCCCACACCTTGCCTGCCATATTGCATTTATGGCACTGTATTGTAATGGCTTATTTACTTCTCTGCCTTCTCCAGGAGACTCTAAACTCCAGGAAGACAAGAGTTGTGTCTTGTTTATCCCTCATTCCCCAGTGGCTAGGATATTGGCTCTTACACAGTAGGCACTCAATAAATACTTATTGAATGACCGAATGAAAGAGGTAATGGTATATGAAAGTGCTTAGAAGAAGCAAAGCATGCCGAAAAATATAAGATATTATTTTAGCCATGAGGAATAGGACATGAACAAGTGAAAGCCCGGATCCCTGTCCAGCGTGAAGCTGAAGACATGATGTATTCCGGGGTCCCAGTGCCCACAGGAAATCCCACCCCCAAGCCAAAATCTTGGAAACAAGGATACCCCTGAGAGCTTGCCCAAGCCAAAATAGAGGATGTCAGCACTGGAGAAGCTGCTATACAGGTTAGAATGCCCTCCTGCACAAAATAATGGAATCTGGAAATCAAACCAAATCTTCACTGAATGTAAAGAAGAGTTATTATATCTGGAAGAAAAAAATCCGTTCACAGAGGGGTGGTGCCTGGAGCCTGGAGAGGGAAGTCCAGAGACCCTGCCCTTGCCCCTGTGGCTGCCCGGGCTCCCCTGACCAACTGCACATCAGCCACAATGACAGGACCCCTGGATTCCATGGTGACTTTCCTTGCACTGTGCTTCTAAGCCAGGTTATGAGCACAGTTTGCTGAGCCCTCTAGAATTCTCCCTAGAGAGAGAATGCATTGGCCAACCAATACGTTCCAGCCTCCTTGGCAGTTTTATTTCTCAATGTCAATTAATGGGTCTCTGGAGCACTTGGCAGTGGGAATTAGTTCTCTTTGACCTCCTCCCATTGGACTTGCTGGCAAATCTAATGTTCTAGACCTGAGGGCCACGGGTTAGAGTCAACCACGCTCGTGACACTGCTATCTTATCTCTCTGACTACAACAAATCCAAGAGTTCAAACAAACAAAGAGCATATTTCTCCCTTCTGTTAACTTGTACTGAGGAGGAAAAGCATGTGTTATTATTTTGTTTGCTAGTTTTGAGGGCCAACTGTAAGGATTTTTATTTTGGTAGGTAGAGGAAAGTCCTGATGAAAGCTGCATCACCAGATTCAATATTTATACTATAGCCTTTGTTTTGTTTTGTTTTGTTTTGTTTTGTTTGAGACAGAGTCTCACCTGTCACCCAGGCTGGAGTGGTGCAGGGGCTCGATCTTGGCTCACTGCAACCTCCGCCTCCCCAGTTCAAGGGATTCTCTTGCCTCAGCCTCCTGAGAAGCTGAGAAGCTGTAAAAAAATTACAGGTGTGCGCCAGCATGCCCAGCTAATTTTTTGTATTTTTAGCAGAGACACCATGTTGGCCACCATGTTGGCCAGGTTGGTCTTCAACTCCTGACCTCAAGTGATCCACCCGCCTCGGCCTCCCAAAGTGTTGGGATTACAAGTGTGAGCCACTGCGCCCGACCCTATACTACACTCTGAATTCTGCCTTAGGCTGAGCATGGTGGCTCATACCTGTATTCCCAGCACTTTGGGAGGCGGAGTTGGGAGGAGTGCTTGAGTCTAGGAGTTCAAGACCAGCCTGGGCAACATGGTGAGACCCCATCTCTACAAAAAATAAAAAAAATTAGCAGGGCATGATGGTCTGCGCTTGTAGTATCAGTTACTTGGAGGACTGAGGTAGGAGGATCACTTGGGCCCAGGAGGCAGAGGCTACAGTGAGCCGAGATTGCGCCACTGCACTGCACTCCAGCCTGGGTGACAGAGTGAGACCCTGTGTCAAAAAAAAAAAAAGAAAGAAAAAGAAAAAAAAAGGAAAAGGAGAAATTCTGTCTTAAAGCACAGGATATTGTTTGTTTATTTATTTACTTATTTATTTATTTATTTTGAGACGGAGTTTCACTCTTGTTGCCCAGGCTGGAGTGCAATGGTGTGATCTGAGCTAACTGCAACCTCTGCCTCCCACGTTCAAGCAATTCTCCTGCCTCAGCCTCCCAAGTAGCTGAGATTACAGGTGCCTGCCACCATGCCCAGCTAATTTTTGTATTTTTAGTAGAGATGAGGTTTCACCATATTGGCCAGGCCAGTCTCAAACTCCTGACCTCAAGTGATCTACCCACCTTGGCCTCCCAAAGTGCTGGGATTACAGGCATGAGCTACCATGCCTGGCTTCTCTCATAATTTTGAATTTAAGTAAATAATGCAGATTGACTCTGAGCTGAGAAAAAATTTAATTTATTTAATGACATAAAATTTGTATTTTACTTGAGTTTTATGTTTTTAATGCTCCTTTCTTTGACAGAAAAAGCAGACAGCTCTGAAAGAGAGGCACTCATGTCAGAACTCAAGATGATGACCCAGCTGGGAAGCCACGAGAATATTGTGAACCTGCTGGGGGCGTGCACGCTGTCAGGTAACCCACTTCCATGAAAATCACCTCATCAAAAAGACTGTAGCCTGATGACAAAGAGGATGTTTGTTCTCTCTCTTTGATTCTTTGTCTTTTCTCAGTCACAGTGTGAACTCTCAAACCCAAGTGAAATTAGACACTGAGCACTCTGTAAATCAGAGGCATCAAAATAAAGAATGCGTCATTCACCTGCTTTGTCGGGATATATTGCATAATTCTCACCTGCTTAAAACAACAACAGCAACATTGCAAGTACATTTGGTGGTGTCTGTGCTTCTCCCCCAGCTTGGAAGCTGGTGCACAGGCGTGGTGAGAGTGGTTACAGAGCCTGGCCACTGCCCCAGTTGTGCTGCTGTCAAATACGGCACAGCCCAGCTAGGATATCAGACTTTACTTTCCCAGAATTCTCTGGGGCATGCCCTCTGATCCTCTCTCTTCTGCCTAGAAATGCCCAAATGACGTGCCCAAGGTTCATTCTTTCTGCAGCAGCAGGCCTGGGGCTGGTACTGAAAGAAAGGAAAAAGAAGAAAGTGAATCTGAGAGAGGACTGGGAATATATTTCTCTCTTCTCAAGCAAACTGCAAATTAGCATATAGTTACCCAGTGTTCGCTTATAATACACAGCTAGAACATTACTTTCGGTTGCAAACTGGAGAATCCAGGAGGCCAGTGGTATTGGTGAGGCCACATGTACAAACAAGGGCCACTGAGAAAGTCGAGAAGATGATGCTTTACAAAGGAATTTGAGCAAAAGTTGAAACTGAATTTAAAGTAGAAGAAGAGATAGGCTCAGCAAAAGTTGTACTGTCCCCAAGTCAGTAGAGAACTGAGCCCTCCTAAGAGTATGTTGTCTGTTACATAGACTTCTGAAATAACAGTTTGCTTTGTGTATGCCTATAATTGAAACTGTAACTATTTCAGGACCAATTTACTTGATTTTTGAATATTGTTGCTATGGTGATCTTCTCAACTATCTAAGAAGTAAAAGAGAAAAATTTCACAGGACTTGGACAGAGATTTTCAAGGAACACAATTTCAGTTTTTACCCCACTTTCCAATCACATCCAAATTCCAGGTAAGAGGCTGGGTCAGGGTTTCATAATTACACATCATAGAACGTAGACAAAGTGGCTGTTCAAACACACTTCGTTGACCAGTTTTTAAAGGCATGGTGTGGTCTGTGGGTCCTGCAACCTAGAGATTTCCTGAATCTTTGCTATAGTTTCCCTGTTGACATGGAACAATGAGCCCCGTCCCTTTCCTTCAGTACAGTTACTATAGCTGAGCTAGCCTCTTTCTACCCATGCCTGCATCACACCCTAGACACCTATTTAGTTTGGGGAAAGGTGCATTATTCAGTCTTTCAGGACACCTGATTGCCTCACAGGTATTGGTAGAAAGAATGAAGACTTTTTCCAAAGTCCTTAACGTATTCAAAGAGAATAGCTCAGGTCCTGGGACTACTGCGCAGGAGAAAGTTGAACTGAAATTGGATTCTAAAATATTAGGATGGATTGATTGACACGTGATGGGGACACAGTAAAGTAGCAGTAACCCTGCCTCCGCTCTATGTGTATCCTCCGCATCTGTGGGGATCCTGAGAGATGCTTGGTCCTGCAGGGATTTATTGCTTTAGCGGGCATAAGTGAGGGCTGTAGGAGTTTGCTGGGATCTCCTCCTCATCCTTGAACTTTCTTGCTAATTACTTGAGCATCATGGCTTTGTGCCTTGGAGCATTCTTTTTTTTTTTTTTGAGACAGAGTTTCACTCTGTTGCCCAGGCTGGAGTGCAATGGTGTGATCTTGGCTCACTGCAACCTCTGCCTCCCGGGTTCAAGTGATTCTCTTGCCTCAGCCTCCTAAGTAGCTGAGATTACAGGCACGCACCACCATGCCCAGCTAATTTTGTATTTTTAGTGGAGACAGGGTTTCACCATGTTGGTTAGGCTGGTGTCGAACTCCTGACCTAAGGTGATCCGCCCACCTAGGCCCCGCAAAGTGCTGGAATTACAGGCGTGAGCCACCGTGCCTGGCCGAGCCTTGGTGCATTCTTATTTCCCTACCTGTGTGGAAGCTCTCCCTTATTCTGAAGGGTATTTGTTTGTTGGAGACTTTTGTCTTTACCAGGGGCTTTTTAGGGATACATTTGAGAGTCCCACCTTTGTTTTCTTAGAATGTAAGTTTTAGTGCAGGCCTCTGGCCTTCAAGGTCTGACACAGAGACCCAGTGTCTTAAAGCCACCAGGCTCCACGGAGATTCCCATGCACGTTTGTGTGCAGCTGCCCTTAACCCTTGCAGGCCTGTCACACCAGTCCTCCCCTTTACACTCGTTTCTCAGCTCATTGTCTGGAAATGAGAACTCTGTAAAGCCACTCACATTCTGGAACAGTGGGGCTTATCCTACTGAGTCAGATGTGTGTGACCAGCATCCACTGGTCAGTACTTAGCCTCTTTGATTCATTCTGTTCACGGGAATATTAAATACACTGAAATTATTCCTTTTGGAATATTTGTGGTCTGAAAGCATGAAGCCATTTCCTAAAGATACGTAAATTGTCAATTGCGTTAAACTCATCTATTGGAATACATTGAATCATGATCTATTCATAATTCCTACAGAGTTCCTCAGGGAAGAACTTTTATATACCTTAAAAGAGATTTGTATTATGGCTATTTATTAATTTCACAGTAAAAAGAAATGAGCTTTGCAAAGGCAAACTGGAAAAAAGAAGGATGGTGAAACGCTTACAGGACTCTCAGGAAGATCTGTATTATGTGAGGGAAAGTGGGCTGAGTTCAGACACCAAAGAATGAGATCGATGTGAGTCCTGGTTCCACTCGAATCATATTTATCTCACGTGCCTAATTTCTCTTTTATAAAATGCCACCCATCTTGTAGGTTGTGGCAAGGATTGAGTGAGGTCCTTTTTGAACTGTAAGATTCTCTACGGAAAACAGGGATTACTTTTATCTTAGACTGGCAAGCCCAGTTACACAGATGTTTTTAATGGACACAAAAAATGGACAAATGGATGGTGTGCTTTTAATTTAAAAGTCAGTTTATAACTGGAATCCATTTATTTGATGAATTATATTTTTAAAATAAAATGTCTGCTGAGAAGAAGAATGTAAATAATGAAAAAACACATTTTTTTAACAGCATGCCTGGTTCAAGAGACGTTCAGATACACCCGGACTCGGATCCAATCTCAGGGCTTCATGGGAATTCATTTCACTCTGAAGGTAATATTTTATTCTAAGTAGTAGCACTTTAAAATGGAAATGAATGCCAAAGTTTTATGTTAGCTATTTTTTTTAAAAGTGTGTAAACACAAAAGCATTTTAAAATTTGTTAATTGTCAGATGATAGTTTGTATAATGTAGATTTTACGTCAACATTCAACTAATAAACACTGAGGACTATTTTATTTGGTCAGATTATTCATTTAAAGTCATATACTGATTAGAGCCTTCTTATTACCTGAGAAGTGGAAGAGATAATGAGTTCTGAAGTTACATAGAATTTGGATTAACTTCTGCTTACTTCGCTTTCTGACTGGATGACTTTGGACAAGTTATGTGACCACAAGAATCACAATTTTCCTATTTACAAAATAGGCCTAACACTGCCTTCCTCACAGGACTGTTAGAAGGAGTAAATGAGGGGCTGGGCGTGGTGGCTCATGCCTATAATCCTAGCACTTTGGGAGGCCGAGCCAGGCAAGTCACCTGAGGTCAGGAGTTCAAGACCAGTCTGGCCAACATGGCAAAACTCTGTCTCTACTAAAAATACAAAAATTAGCTGGGTATGGTGGTGCATGCCTACAATCCCAGCTACTTGGGAGGCTGAGGCAGGAGGATCGCTTGAATCCAGGAGGTGAAGGTTGCAGTGAGCCGAGATTGCACCACTGTATTCCAGCGTGGGCAACAGAGCGAGAATTTGACTCAAAAAAAAAAAAAAAAAAAAAAAAAAAAGGAAGGAGTAAATGGAAGAATATGAAATGTACAATACAGTTTATAAAATGGGATAGATGGGCCAGGCGCGGTGGCTCATGCCTGTGATCCCAGCACTTTGGGAGGCCGAGGCGGGTAGATCACAAGGTCAGGAGATCAAGACCATTCTGGCTAACACGGTGAAACCCTTTTGTACTAAAAATACAAAAAATTAGCATGAGCCTATAGTCCCAGCTACTCGGGAGGCTGAAGCAGGAGAATCCAGTTGCAGTGAGTCGAGATCGTGCCACGGCACTCCTGGGCGACAGAGTGAGACTCGTGAGACTCGTCTCAAAAAAAAAAAAAAAAAAGGAATCAACGCTTAATTAATATTAATTCCTTTCCCACTGTGACAGCCCTACCTAGTACAAAAGGGAAGGATCTAAAACTCCTGACTAATCAATCAGGAGGTCATCGGTCATCAAAGCAATTCCAAAGTTTATCTCTAACCAAAACAAGTTTCCAGTGACCCTTGGTAAGCAGAGTAAACAGGTCAGCTCTAATGCTGCTGCGAAGATAATGCCATAGCTTCATGTGTATGTCTTAGCACCTCACCTAACTCTGGCTAGAATAACCTCCCCATAGAGATTTAATAAGACAACTTCTTAGGGTTTTGGCAAAAGTGAAGACTGGCTCTATTTTACAGATGAAATTGAATATGAAAACCAAAAAAGGCTGGAAGAGGAGGAGGACTTGAATGTGCTTACATTTGAAGATCTTCTTTGCTTTGCATATCAAGTTGCCAAAGGAATGGAATTTCTGGAATTTAAGTCGGTACGCTCCTTTTAAAGAAAAAACAAACCAAAAAAAAAATTCGAAAAGATGTGCTTATATATTTTTTCTTGTTTGTTTTAACTCGTATCCCTTAAAGTCTACCTTTTCTCCCCCGTTCGCTGTTGGAGTCACCTAGAATGTTACCTTGACTCTTGGCTAATTGTGGTAGCATAAAGGCTTGGGATCCCCTGTGAGGTCACGGCTAGCACAGCCCTCCCTGCCTGCACAAAGTCCCCTGAAACTTCCAGGGCTGAAGGTGGAGATAGGAAGTCCTCAGAAATCCTTCCTCAAAACAAAGTATGGCATTGTCAATCCCTTTCTGAACAGCTGTTCAGGTTGTGCCCTGCATGTGGGCATTCACTCAGGGGATGAGTGGAGGCTGAAACCCAGCCAGCCACCCTGCGTGTCTTTGTCTAATTTGCACCCTACGTGCTGTGGGCTGGCAGCAGCTCTGTAGGCTCACTGCCTCCTCTGTTGCTAACCCCAGATCCATTCAGGCTGTGTTGGTAAGACCCTGGAGCCTGCCGTGAACCATGGTCTCTACTCCAATTTTACTTTCTTTTTGAACTGCCTTTCCGCCCACTGTTCTCTGTGATTTCAAACGTCTCCTGCCTATAAGCAGATCACAGCCCGCCGTCTGGCTACCTTCCTTCCTCGTTTGCTTGCCTTTCATTACCTTCTCTTTATTTCCCAAAATTCTTCCCCTTCATTTTTCTTGCAGTCTTCTAATCTCCTCCTCCTCTTCTCCTCCACTTCCTTCCCCTTGCCTCTTCTCTCCTCTTTTCTCTCTGAATTTGGAAAGACTACTTTCAATTGTATTTTGTTTTTTTCTTTTCCTTTTCTGGAGACAGAGTCTCGCTGTGTTGCCCAGGTTCGAGTGCAGTGGTGCGATCTCAGCTCACTACAACCTCTGCCTCCTGGGTTCAAGCAATTCTCATGCCTCAGCCTCCCATGTAGCTGGGACTCTGGGCGCGCACCACCATGCCTGGCTAATTTTTTATATTTTAGTAGAGATGGGATTTCACCATGTTGCCCAGGCTGGTCTTGAACTCCTGAGCTCAAGCAATCCACCTGCCTCAGTCTCCCAAAGTGCTGGGATTAAAAGCATGAGCCACCGCACCCAGCCTTTTTCCTTTAAAAAATTACTGTCTCAGTCAGACGTTCATGGTGCGTGTCTGTAGCTCCAGCTACGTCGGAGGCCAAGGTGGGAGGATAGCTTGAGCCCAGGAGTTGGAAACTGCAGTGAGCTAGGATCGCACCACTGCACTCCATCCTGGGTGACAGAGCAAGACCCTTTCTGTAAAAAACAAAAAAATAGGTGGCTGGACGCGGTGGCTCACACCTGTAATCCCAGCACTTTGGGAGGCCCAGGCGGGTGGATCACGAGGTCAAGAGATTGAGACCATCCTGGCTAACACAGTGAAACCCCATCTCTACTAAAAATACAAAAAAAATTAGCCGGATATAGTGGCAGGTGCCTGTAGTCCCAGCTACTTGGGAGACTGAGGCAGGAGAACGGTGTGAACCCGGGAGGCGGAGCTTGCAGTGAGCCGAGGTGGCGCCACTACACTCCAGCCTGGGCAACAGAGTGAGACTCCATCTCAATAAATAAATAAATAAATAAATAAATAAATAAATAAATAATAGGCTGGGCCCAGTGGTGTATGTCTGTAACCCCAGTGCTTTCAGAGGGAAGCCCAGGGATTTCCAGGCTGCAATGAGCTATGACTATACCACTGCTCTTCAGCCTGTCTATTCAAAATAATAATGAAATAAGCTTAAGAGCAATAATAATACAAGTTTTTCAAAATTACTGTCACAATAGTATTTCCCCACCTCTCAACTGCAAGGCCCATTCTTCTCTTCATTTTCCCCACCTGCTGCTTGGATTCTTCTTTCTCATGCATCTTGCCCACCTCAGTCTTTCTCTATTTTACTTACACATCTACAATCCTGCTTTCACAAGCATTTTTTTTTTTTTTTTTTTTTTTTTTTTGAGACAACATCTTGCTCTGTTGCCCAGCCTGGAGGGCAGTGGTGCGATCTCAGCTCACAGCAACCTCTGCCTCCCAGGTTCAAGCGATCCTCCTGCCTTGGCGTCCCTAGTAGCTAGGGTTACAGGTGCGCACCACCACACTTGGCTCATTTTTTTCTATTTTTGTGGGGACAAGGTTTCACTATGTTGGCCAGACTGGACACGAACTCCTGACCTCAAGTGATTTGCCCGCCTCAGCCTCCCAAAGTGCTGGGATTACAGGCGTGAGCCACTGTACCTGGCCCACAAACATCTTTACAGATGTGGGAGAGCACCTACTTAGATTGTCTGGCCTGGTTTGCTGCCCATAGTTAAGTAAATACTCAAACCACTTCCAACTGGTGGTCAAAGGCACTGCTTCCCCTTCAACTCCAGGCTTGTAATACTATGAATTTTTGAAGAACATCCAGTTTCTTAGGCCCTCTATCCTTTTATCTTCACATCAGGCCTCCCCTTTGAATCATGCATGTCACTGTCCCCTACTTGTCTCTCACCCCCGCCCTGATACTCCTCGGGTACCCCTCAGTTTACTCTATAGGCCCTTGACTTCATCAAGCATTTGTTGAGCCCCAGCTACATGCCAAGCACTGTCCTAGATGCTGGAAATACAGAGTCAGTTATGATATGACCCCTGGGCTTGAAGATCTTATGAATGACAGGGGAGACAGACAAGCAGACATGCAAGTCAAAGATGACACAGAGGCCAGGGACGGTGGCTGAGGCCTGTAGTCCCAGCACTTTGAGAGGTCGAGATGGTGGATTGCTTGAGGCCAAGAGTTCAAGACCAGCCTCGCCAACATGGTGAAACCCCATCTCTGCTAAGAATAGAAAAATAGCTGGGCATGGTGGTGAATGCCTATAATACCAGCTATTTAGGAGGCTGAGGCATGAGAATTTCTTGAACTGGGAAGCAGAGGTTGCAGTGAGCAGAGATTGCACCACTGCACTCCAGCCTGGGTAACAGAGTGAGACTGTCTCAAAAAAATTTTTAAAAAAAATTGAAAAGTTTAAAAAAAACAACACTGTAGCGTGGTAAGTGTTGTGATTGAAGTAAGTTCTGGGAACCCAGGGGAGGGATCTGCACAGCAGTCCTGGCCAGGGAGGGGGAGATGCAGTGGAAGAGGCTTTCTGAAGGAGTGCATGCTTCATGTTTGGACTGATGGAGATTTTTGAAGGAAAAGGAAAACCAGCAGGGAATGTGGGATAGGATAGGGAGCATCAAATCAGGAGGAGGTTTTTTTGGATAAAGGTAATGAGTTGGACATACTGAATGTGAGGTGCCTTGGGCAACCAAGTAGAGCTTGGTCTAGCAGACACTTGGACACTCCTGTCTGAAGCTCAAGAGAAGTGTTTGGGTTGGAAATAGGGATGTTGGCAATGGTAGTTGCATCCCTAGATTTGGATGAAATGGCTTGGGTGAGGGTGTGGGATGTGAGGATGCAGCCCTCAGGAGTGAGAGTAGGCTCATGCACAAAGCCCCTGAGGGAGACAGGAGCCGGCAGAGCAGTGGGGAGAAAGCAGGAGTGAACCATGCACAGGGTTCCCAGAGGAAGGACCAGAAGCGGGAGGGGCTGGCCACCAGCAGCAGACACCACAGGGAGGTCCCGTCAGATCGACACTGGGTGGGTGCCATGTCAGTCAGTGCGGGCTTTGGCCAGAGCAGCTTGGGCAGACAGGCAGGAGGAGCAGGCAGGTTGCAGACCTGGGGGTGAAGTGGGCAAAGTGCAAGTAGACGGCACTGAAAAAACTGGGTATGGAAGAGGGAGCTCTAGAGGGGCTGTGGCACAGGGCTGCTGGCGTTCATGGTGCTTCTTTTTCTTTTTTAAAGATGAAAGAGTGTACATTGGACCTTTGCTGCTAGTCCCTGTTCCCCTTCAGATCTTCCTTAGTAAAGTTCATTTTCTTGTGAGACCCCTTTGATTAACGTCACGACATCTCTCAGCTCAGGGACTCCTAATTCCACTTCAGTAAACCTCTCCAAACTCATTTTTAGCTCTTTGTTTTTCCAATTATTTCCTTCGATATTACTCCATTTATTCCTAAAGCTATTTTCCAGTCAGAAAAGAGATGCTAGCCAGGCGAGGTGGCTCACGCCTGCAATCCCAGCACTTTGGGAGGTCAAGGTAGGTGGATCACCTGAGGTCAGGAGTTCGAGACCAACCTGACCAACATGGCAAAACCCTGTCTCTACTGCAAACACAAAATTAGCCAGGCGTGGTGGCACATGCCTGTAATCCCAGCTACTTGGGAGGCGGAGGCAGGAGAATTGCTTGAACCCAGGATGCAGAAGTTGCAGTGAGCCGAGATCACGCCATTGCACTCCAGCCTGGGCAACAAGAGTGAAATTCCATTTCAAAACAAAAAAAAAAAAGAGAAAAAGAAAGAAAAGAGATGCTATTTCTTACACCCACAATAACAGTACTGGAGGATATCCTCTGAGACTCCCTCTGGAGGCTCAGAGGAGGGCCCCTGTTGGGGAGCCTCTCACTTTTGCTCAGAAGCTGCAAAAGATTCGCTCTTCTTTGGCCTCTGGGGATGCTTCAGAAGCTGCACAAATAACTGCAGCCACCATAGCTGCAGAATTAGGTCTTCTATGTTCCCTTTGTTTGTTACACATCATCATGACCGCTCACGGCACGGCCCAGTAAAGATAAGAGGCCTTCTATCATCGGTACCTCCTACTGAACTTGAGCCTAGAAGAAAGATTGCACTCCAGGATAATATACATCACAGTAAATAACACTCCGGTGTCATTCTTGACAGTGTGTTCACAGAGACCTGGCCGCCAGGAACGTGCTTGTCACCCACGGGAAAGTGGTGAAGATATGTGACTTTGGATTGGCTCGAGATATCATGAGTGATTCCAACTATGTTGTCAGGGGCAATGTGAGGCTGCTATTTCCTACTTATTTTTATGCTGCTATTTTGTGTTTTGTCGTTATCATGGTAAACATCTGCACTCACTGTGGTGCATTTTTGATTAATGGTAACATCAAAAAACCCTCACAGCAGTCTGCTTGCTTATGCTTAAAAGGTTTTTCTGCAGCTTCAGGGAATCTTCCATCTATAATAAAAGCTGAGCAAAATAGCATCACATCTGTCCTTGGGCTAGCTAGTCAGAGTAGATCTGTTAGGGGCCTTTGAGTGCAATCCTCACTTTAAAAAACCCCAAATCTCAATGCTTGCACTTACTTCAGTTATCCTAGCTATAAAGTGACTATTGAGTTATGTTTTCAATTATGTGAAAAGCTAATCGTCACAATAAAGCACTTCAAAACATAGATAACACATAAATACATACAAAATGTTAAAGCTAAATACTTAAATATGAATTAATGAATATTTGTCATCCTTTTACTGTTAACACAGGAAGACCTAAAACATGAGTGAATTGGCCGGGTGCGTTGGTTCACGCTTGTAATTCCAGTACTTTGGGAGGCTGAGGTGGGCGGATCACGAGGTCAGGAGTTCAATACCAACCTGACCAATATGGCGAAACTCTGTCTCTACTGAAAATACAAAAAATTAGCTGGGCATGGTGGCGTGTGCCTGTAGTCCTAGCTGTTTGGGAGACTGAGGCAGGAGAATCGCTTGAACCCAGGAGGTGGAGGTTGCAGTGACCCAAGATCGTGCCACTGCACTCCAGCCTGGGCAACAAGAGCGAAACTCCATCTCAAAAAAAAAAAAAAAAAAAAAAAAGCGAATTGACTTGGTAATAAAAAACTAAGGACAGATGTGTTTACAAAAAGAACTATTAGAAGTAATAGATGACAAAATTGTGTAGTTGAAAATGTGTGTTTTTAAAGAATTACAACACCTGGCTTGGTGCTGGTGGCTCACACCTTTAATCCCAGGCACTTTGAGAGGCCATGGTGGGAGGATTGCTTGAGACCGGGAGTTCAAGACCAGCCTATGCAACATGGTGAGACACTCAACTGTCTCTATAAAAAATTTAAAAACTAGCTGGGTTTGGTGGCACCTGCCTGTAGTCTCAGCTACTTGGAGAGGCTGAAGTGGGAGGATCACTTGAGCCCAGGAGGTCGAGGCTTCTGTGACCTATGATCACGCCACTGCACTCCAGCCTGGGCAACAGAATGAGACCCTGTCTCAAAAAAGAATTCCCTACTTATGAAATAATAATGATAATATTAAATGCTGATATAGTGCCTACTATATGCTAAGCATCTAGGTGCTTTATGCATATTAATTCATTTATTCCTCAGAGTACCCACTTGGAAACTGAGGCACAGAAAAGTAACTTGCCCATGGTTACACAGCACGTGGACTTGGACATGAATAGTCTGAGCCCCGAATCTGTGCTCACCCCTGTGTTGTAGTGTCTCCCATGAGGGTTTTGCACTTACCTCATAGCATTGATGTGGGAAAAAACCAATAAAACCAATATGAAAGCACCTTGTCCAGGGTGAACATCCAGTAAATGTGAAAAGTCAAATTAAACTGTATTCCCACTAGAATCAAATAATCATCTTAGTTGATTTACAGTCTACTCCTAGTCATCATAGACTGCTCATATGTAGTCATTCAGTTTCTACCCCACCAGCTGGTTGTCTGTTATGTGAGAAAGTGAATTCCATTTGGAACCACAATTAATTTCTTTAATTAATCAAATTAACCAGACCTGCCGGCTTGAATCAATAGCTCATCAGTTTGCATACATTTAAAAGAGGGTTTACTTGGCAGATTAAGCATGTGCTGATTAAACGTGTGCTGTGAAGGACTCCTCAACCCATGTAAAAGAAAATCAGTACAGCCAGGCACAGTTGCTCACACCTGTAATCCCAGCACTTTGGGAGGCTGAGGTGGGTGGATCATGAGGTCAGGAGTTCGAGACCAGCCTGGCCAACATGGTGAAACCCCGTCTCTACTAAAAATACAACAATTAGCTGGGCATGGTGGTACGTGCCTGTAATGCCAGCTACTCGGGTGGCTGAGGCAGGAGAATTGCTTGAACCAGGGAGTCTGAGGTTGCAGTGAGCTGAGATTGCGCCATTGCACTGCAGCCTGGGCAACAAGAGCAAAACTCCGTCTCAAAATAAATAAATAAATAAATAAATAGAAAGAAAATCAGCACAAAGCTCTGCCCCAGTAACCTACCCATCTTGTGTCTTGATTCTAATCTGATACTATACTAAGTCAAAACCCCCTTTCATGCTAGTGGAAATTATTAAAGCCACAGAAGCCAGACTGGTATCATTTCTGGAAGTGATGACATGGGCTCCCCTCCCGACATTCTTGTGGATGACATTTCCACTAAAGGTCTTCCCAGAAATGCTTTAACAGAAGATCTCACTAATTCACCAGTACCCACTTACCCCTAGGCAAGTAACTGGCTCTTCCTTAATGGAAAGTACATCTTTCCACTGGAAAGATGGAAAGTTAAACTTACCCATTCCAAGCACAAGCCTTTGTTCAAGAGGAGTTGTAAAGAAATATGCCTTGTGTTTTAGGCTAGTATTATCAGAATGTTAATTTGAAAGTGAAAACCTTTCACGTGAGGAATGTGATTTTTGCAATAAGGCGTTAAGAGTGGTCTTAGGAAGATGATGCATTTCATCCTAATACAAGAGAAAAGAAGTCATGTCTGTATGTGGGAAATTCACCATCTTATTTCCTCTGGGTTTTCCACAGGCCCGTCTGCCTGTAAAATGGATGGCCCCTGAAAGCCTATTTGAAGGGATCTACACCATTAAGAGTGATGTCTGGTCATACGGAATATTACTGTGGGAAATCTTCTCACTTGGTATGTTGGGCAGCTGCTGGCCTCCCTTGACTCTGGGCTTTGCATGCTCTGCTCTGTCGGTGCCCCCCGCCCCTTCCCCCAACACTGATGGGTCTTGTATTGCAGCGCATAACTTTATGTTTATTTGCTGGTGTCCTTCAGCCTGCCTTCCTCACTGGTCTATAACCTGTTTGAGAGCATGAACCGTGACTTCTTTTTCCCAGCTGCAGCCTGTGTGCCTGCAACAGTGTCTGGCACATGGCAGCTCTCAATACATGTTTGTTAATTGAATGAATCAATAAACAAATGAAGAAATGGATGAATGGCTGCAATTGTCTTGTGTTTTCCTCAGGTGTGAATCCTTACCCTGGCATTCCGGTTGATGCTAACTTCTACAAACTGATTCGAAATGGATTTAAGATGGATCAGCCATTTTATGCTACAGAAGAAATGTAAGTTCAAGTCAGACAGTAATTTGGTTGAAATCAGAAATTTACAGTCTGTCTACTTCCAAATGCATGACCAAAAAATGTCAAACTCCTTAATGCAAAGTTTATAAGATTCTTTTTTAAAAAAATAGAAGTGAGGTCTTGCTCACTAGGCTGGTCTCAACTCCTGGCTTCAAGCAATCCTCTTGGCTCAGCCTCCCAAAGTGCTGGGATTACAGGTGTGAGCCACCACACCCAGCTGTCTGATTCCATTTTAAAAAGAAAAGAAAACGCTTCCTTTTTGTTTTGGGAGTTTCTGAACAAAGCTGAACCTTTCCTGTCCTCAGAGGCACCTGCTTCCAGGTTTTAATTCCTTTCCTTGAGGGCTCTACGAAGGTAATTCGATTCTACCCACTACATCACATTTTAAAAAATGCATTTCTGCCCATCATCTGATTTCTCCTTTCAGATATGAATTCAAAGTCTGGTAGAGGACTTGCCACAAAACAAACATGCTGTAAACAAGTAGCTCCAGAGGAATCAATGGTGCTTCATTATATGGAAAATGATCCATTTTGCTTCATTCAGACTTCTTCATCTTGTTCCTTGTTCTACTGCTTTTACAGATACATTATAATGCAATCCTGCTGGGCTTTTGACTCAAGGAAGCGGCCATCCTTCCCTCATTTGACTTCATTTTTAGGATGTCAGCTGGCAGATGCGGAAGAAGCGGTATGTAGCAGCCAGGACTTTGTAAAGCTTTATAAAGGAAATTGGTAAATTAAAACACTTGTTGCTGACTTCCTGTGAACCAAAGGTACCAAGTTCTGATTCTCATCGCAGTTCTTCTTGGTTGCCCTTGCAAAGTTGTGTGGGGTAAAACTTTATTTATTTGCTTATTTATTTATTTGTTGAGACAGGGTCTCACTCTATGGCCCAGGCTGGAATGTGTGGTGTGATCATGGCTCACTGCAGCCTCGACCTCCCAAGCTCAAGCAATCCTCCAGCCATAGCCTTCCAAGTCGCTAGGACTGCGGGATAGCACCACCACGCTAGGCTTATGTTTTTCTTTTTTGTAGAAATAGGGTATCACTGTATTGCCCAGGCTGGTCTTGAACTCCTGGGCTCAAGCAGTTCCCCCACCTCAGTCTCCCAAAGTGCTGGGATCACAGGGTATGAGCTACTGTGCCTGTCCTAAGACATATTTATTGATACGAATGTTTTTAGAAAAAATAAAACACCTTTCCTGATTTCAGCCAAATGATTAATACATTAAAAGCTCTCAAGTGTTCAGTGCAGTGAAGTAGGCAACTAAATAAAACTAAATAAAAAGAATCCCTGGCCTCCAGAAGCCACTAGCCCTTTCTTATGAAGCATGAGTGTGGAAAAGTCACATGACTCGATCACGCTCTATGGTAGCATGGAAAGCACATTGACCTGGAGTTCTGAGGGTTGAATACCAGCTCTACCACTCTGTCTCCCAGTTGTGTCCATTATAGCAAATCACTTTACTTCTCTAAGCATCAGTGTTCTCACCTGTAAAATGGGTTGTTAAGTTAGATTATCTTTTGAGCTTTGGGAACTTGGAATTTCTTTGCTAACGCTTCCCCCGTCAGCACCACCACCTGGTGTAGTGAAAAGAGCCATCTCCAGATGAAGTAAATAAAGGAGAGAACCTTGAGCTCCCAATACTGAGGTTCACATCTTGGCTCCATCATTTACTTGATAAGTCACTTAATCTTTTGGGGAGTCTCCGTCTCAGTTTCTTTACCTGAAATACGTGATTAACAAATCTCGCCTCACGGAGTTGTGAGACGGAGTAAATCAGGTGATGTATGTGAAAAGAGTTAGCCCATAGTGGGCACTTAGTATTTACTCAATAAAATATTAGTTAAATATAAATCTGATTTTTAAGTGGATTGTCTGTCCTCCTTTCTAAATTGTTGAGAGTCTGTTTTCAGTTCTGTGTTCTCTATACAGACTTGGGTAGATAGTGTGGACTTTCCTACTGCTGTGATGTTTTTCTGAAAATTACATAGAAACTAGGTTATTTTCAGAGAATTAGGTCAAAAGGCTGGAGGAAATGGAAAGCCCCCAATGGACTTATCCTATTGCACAGATGCCTGTAAACTGTTAATGACACTGTAAGGAAAACTGAAAGAAGAGTTATAGAATGAAACAGGAAGTGAGCTGGTAAAGAAAGAATATATATGTACATGTATAGCTAGCTATCTATACACTTTTTTTTTTTTTTTTTTTTTTTTTGAGACAGGATCTTGCTCTATCATCCAGGCTGGAGTGCAGTGGCATGATCTCAGCTCAGTGCAGCCTCTGCACTGTGGGCTCAAGCAATCCTCCCACCTCAGCCTCCCAAGTAGCTGGGACCACAGGTACACACCACCAGGCCCAGCTATTTTTTTTTTTTTTTTTTTGTATTTTTGGTAGACACGGGCTCTCACTGTGTTGCCCAGGCTGTTCTCAAACTTTTGAGCTCAAGTGGTCCACCTGCTTCAGCCTCCCAAAGTGCCAGGATTACAGGCATCAGCCACCGTGCCTGGCTAAGAGAGGACTGATTGATGTTACTCGTTGTATAGTTGGGTGTGGATTTTGGGGAACTTATTTGAGCTGGATGTGAGGACTGAATAGCATCTTGGCTGCTGGAGAGTAGAGGGTGGGTAGGATATTCCAGGATGAATGAATAATATAAATAAAAGTCCAAAGTTGAAAAAGTAGAGTGGCAAGTAAATGGCTATGCCTAATACACAGGGAGAATGGGGGAGTAGAGAGGAAAACAAAAATGTAAAGGTTGTGTCGCCAAGATGGAGGCTTCAGGACCACTTGGGTCTTGGTTTGAACTTCTCCTTTCACGTCCCCATACCCACAGGATGTCCAGATCCCCTTCCCTCTGTTCAGGGAGCCTGTCAGGTATCAGGAACCATTGAATGGCAACGTGTCTGTGCATGATTAATCAGCTGAGGGAATCCATGCTTAGGGACAGATAGTTCACCAACCTTTTCTCCCAATTCCTTCCACTCTGTTCCCTGACCCTCTGTGACCAGTGTCAAAAGCACCCAGAGAAAATGGTAGCTCCTTTAAGCAGGTTAGAGAACAGGCCCCCACGGCCCGTTGCGGTGGGTCACACGTGTGATCCCAGCACTTTGGGAGGCTGAGGTGGGCAGATCACTTGAGGTCATGAGTTCCAGACCAGCCAGGCCAACATGGCTAAACCCCATCTCTACTAAAAACAAAACATTAGCTAGGCGTGGTGGCGTGCGCCTGTAGTCCCAGCTACTTGGGAGGCTGAGGCAGGAAAATCTCTTGAACCTGGGAGGTGAAGGTTGCAGTGAGCCGAGATGGCACCACCGCACTCCAGCCTGGGTGACACAGTGAGACTCTGTCTCAAAAAAGAAAAAGAAAGAAAAAGAGAAAGAAAGAGAGGAAGGAAGGAAGAAAGGAAGGAAGGAAGGAAGGAAGGAAGGAAGGAAGGAAGGAAGGAAGGAAAGGGAGAGAGAAAGAAAAAAGAAAGAAGGAAGGAAGGCAGAGAGGAAGGAAGGAAGGAAGGAAGGAAGGAAGGAAGGAAGGAAGGAAGGAAGGAAGGAAGGAGGGAAGGAAGGAAGGAGGGAAGGGAGGGAAATGCACCCCTTTTCCAGGTGGGAGGAATCCAGAGAGAAGCCCCTTACTCAGGGCTCATGCAGCCTGCCCCAGTCTAAGCCAGTCTGAAGGAGGGGAGCTTGGAGTGGATCTCAGCCATCTTGCCCGCTCTGCTGGGCATTTTTGTTGGTGCAAGGCAGAACCCACACAGCCACGCAGGCAGCCCTGCCCACTCTGCACAATCCTATCTAGTCCCTTGGTTGGAAAACTGACCTTGTCACCTTCCCCAGGGTGACCTTCCCTGGTACATCTGTGAATGGTTTTGTAGAATCTTCTCTCCTCTCCTCCCCTCCCCTCCCTTCTCCTCTCCTCTCCTCTTTTATTTTATTATTTTTTTTGAGACAGAGTCTCACTCTGTCACCCAGGCTGGAGTGCAGTGGTGCCATCTCAGCTCACTACAACCTCCACCTCCTGGGTTCAAGTGATTCTCGGGCTTCAGCCTCCCGAGTAGCTGGGACTACAGGCATGTGCCACCACGCCCAGCTGATTTTTGTGTTTTTAGCAGAGATGGGGTTTCACCATATTGTCCAGGCTAGTCTCCTGACCTCATGATCTGCTCACCTCAGTCTTCCAAAGTGCTGAGATTACAGGCATGAGCCACCCCACCCGGCCCTATTTTCTTTTCTTTTTAATTTATTTTTTTTTAGATAGAGTCTCACTTCGTCACCCAGGCTGGAGTGCAGTGGCGTGATCTCGGCTCACTGCAACCTCCACCTCCTGCGTTCAAGCAATTCTCGTGCCTCAGCCTCCTGAGTAGCTGGGATTACAAGCACCTACCACCACGCCTGGCTAATGTATCTGTAGTAGAGACGGGGTGTTACCATGTTGGCCAGGCTGGTCTCAAACTCCTGAACTCAAGCGATTTGCCAGCCTCAGCCTCCCAATGTGCTGGGATTACAGGCGTGAGCCACTGTGCCCGGCCAGAGTCTTTGTTTCTGCATCAAGGACTAGGGAAGGAAAAGGGCCATCAGAGAACCAGGAGAAAGAGTGGGAAATACATGGAGAAAACATAGGTTAAGGCTTTTATGTCTAACCTCAGCACCAACGGGGTTAAATCAAGGAGGTCACTGATTACATGATTACATGCCTAGGCATTTAGACAGTGGTGAACCGATGAAGATTTTTAGGATGGACGAACATGTTTCAATCTTTAAGATCCAGATCAAACATTCTGTGCTCTGCAAAGCCTCCCCCAATTTCCCTAGTCAGATCTCAGTCTCTTCTGAATTCCCATGACACTTTCAGCTATAACTCCATGTGAGACTCAAATCCTAGTGTAGGATGACTTTATTTTATGGGTCTCTCTCTGTCGTCACTAGACTTCATTAGTGAGGGTAAGTTCTATTTCCTGTTCATCTTTACACCCCATGGGGTAGCGCTTGCCCTGTGAGATTAAATCAATGGGTGAAGTCAGTATGAAAGCAAGTTGGAGACCACATCTGTTTGGTTCATCGTTATAGACCCTGCTGCTAGCATGATGCTTAGCATGTAGAAGGCGCTCAGCAGACGTTTCTGGAATGAGAAAGAAAAAGAGAGCGTAAAAGGAAGTTTGGAAAAGCCAGGCAGAAGATGAGATGTCAGGACTTCAGTTGAGAGGGGCGGCAGCAGCCGGGACGGGCACGCTGAGGGAGCGCACTAGGCAGGGGCTGTGGGCTGATGAAAGGGGGCACATGCTTGTCCCCTGTTTCAGAAAAGGAGTCTGAACTAACATCACCTCCCCTCTCCTACTTGGCCCCATAAATTATAGGAAATATGGATTTTTTTTGGTTTGTTTTTTGTTTTTTTTTTAAAGAGAAGGGAGGCCAAGCATGGTGGCTGACACTTATAATCCCAGCACTTTGGGAGGCTGAGGCACAAGCATAGATTGAGCTCGGGAGTTCAAGGCCAGTCTGGGCAACATGGTAAAACCCTGTCTCTACAAAAGAATTTAAAAATTAGCCAGGCGTGGTGGTGCCTGCCTGTGGTCCCAGCTGCTAGGGAGGCTGAGGTAGGAGGATCGCTTGAGTCGGAGGGAGGTGGTCACGGCTGCAGTGAGCCATGATCATGCCACTGTTCTCTAACCTGGGTGACAGAGCAAGACTCTGTCTCAACAAAACTAAACTAAACTTAAATAAAGTTGAGGCCATAATTGGCTTAGAAAGTAAGAAAGAGATCTTTTTGTGGACCAGAAACTGTGGAAAATCCCTGAGACAATGAAATCAGTTAAAACTGCACTGCAGAGGGAACACCCGCAACAGAGGATGCCTGGAAAAACAAGTTGAAGGCTAACATAAAGGCAGCAGGAAGTCCTGGGACCCTCCACAAGTTCTGAAGCAGGAGCAGCCACATGGTGAAATCCACATAAGATTAAATGTGGGTGCTAAAAATGTAGGAATGATATTGGTGAGATAGAAATGTAACATATAACTTTCGGTTCAGTACAGGGGAAAAAAATGACTTTAGAAAACATAATCAGTCCAACAAAATGGGGAAGAGAGAAATAAAGAGAATTTGTGGAAATAGAAAAGACAAAATTAGCTGGGTGTGGTGGTGCACACTTGTAGTTCTAGCTACTCAGGAGGCTGAGCTGGGAGGATCCCCTGAGCCTAGGAAGTCGAGGCTGCAGTGAGCTATAACTGGGCTACTACACTCCAATTGTGGGCAAAGGAGAAAGACCCCATATCTAAAGAATAAAATAAACAAACAAATAAAAATTGAAAATACAAAAATAAAACACAAAATGGCAACAATCAGTAAGCCTACTTAGGAAACAGAATCTCAGAATAAATAAAATTGTTATCATACATTATTAGTGAATGCCACATTCACTAATCTCGATGCAATATAATAAAAAAATCACCCAACCAAAAAAGCCACCAAATTTATATACCAAAATTAAAAATCAGCCAGACGTGGTAGTTCACACCTGTAATCCTAGCACTTTGGGAGGCCAAGGCAGGTGGATCACCTGAGATCAGGAGTTCAAGACCAGCCTGGCCAACCTGGTGACACCCCGTCTCTACTAAGAAGACAAAAATTAGTTGGGCATGGTGGCAGGCAGCTATAATCCCAGCTACTTGGGAGGCTGAGGCATGAGAATTGCTTAAAACCAGGAGATGGAGGTTGCAGTGAGCCTAGACTGCACCATTGCACTCCAGCCTGGGTGACAAGTACGAAACTCTGTCTCAAAAAATAAATAAAATAAAAATCATGCTTCTTAAGGAAGCTTTGCTTAAGAAGAAGAAGGGGAAATAGCAAAAAGGAGTAAAAATGGGTATTGCCTATTAAAACCTGTAAGAGTTACCCAAATTCGTAATTCTAAATTCATTTATTAGAAAACAAAGAAAAATGAAAATCAATAACTAACTTTTTTTCCCTTTTTTTTTTTTTTTTTTTTTTGGAGACCGGTTCTTGCTCTGTCACCCTGGCTGGAATGCAGTGACATGATTATATAAGTCACTGCAGCCTCAAACTCCTGGAATCAAGCGATCCTCCCACCTCAGCTTCCTGAGTAGCTTTTTAAAAATTCTCTTTTGCAGAGATGGGGATCTTGCTATGCTGTGCAGGCTAGTCTCAAACTGCTGGCCTCAAGCAATCCTCCTGCCTCAGCCTCCCAAAGTGCTGGGACTACTGGTGTGAGCCATCACACCTAGTCTGATTAGCCTTTCAATTTAAGAAGCTAGGGAAAAAAACAAACAACAACAAAGAAGAAGGTGGAGAGAGAGAGGAGGAGGAGAATGAACAAAGCAGAAAGAAGGAATTAATAGAGACATAGCCAGATTTAATTAAACAGAGGAAGTAGCAACAACAAAATAATAGCGATGGTCAGGACAACCACAAGTTGTTTCTTTGAACTAATAATGTAATTGCTAACATTTTTTGAGTATTTAATCATACAGTTTACTAATGTATTAGCCATAAAATTAATAACTCTTAATCCTCACATGAATCCCCTGAAGTAGGTTCTACTATTACCCCTTTAGCAGACTAGTAAATTGAGGCCCAGAGAGGTTAAGTAATTTGCCTCAGGTAACATGATAAATGTCAGACTTAGGATTTGAATACAGCAGTCTGAGTGTAGTCTATGCTGTATATTAATGTTGCATATCAACGAAGTATACAAACATACTACTAAAGCTGCTATCTTTGAGGTGAACAATTAAGAAAAAAAGAAGCCGGGTATGGTGGCTCACGCCTGTAATCCCAGCACATTGGGAGGCCAAGGCGGGAGGATCTCTTGGACTCAGAGGTTTGAGGCCAGACTGGGCAACATAATGGGACCCCATCTCTACCAAAAATTTTAAAATTAACCAGGTGTAGTGGCGCACACCATAGTTTTCTAGAAAGAAAAGTGAAGTGTAGGAGGCAGTCTGGACAGTTCACACTAAAACTGTCAAAAAACAAAGATAAAGAAGTAGACAGTAACAAGGGCTGTGGGAAGGGAGCAAATCTATAAAATTTAAGTAGAATGCATGATTCTTAAATCATAAAGTTCTTATAAACAAATAATAATAAAAATATATCACCTTTTAAAAGAGACAGGGTCTTGCTATGTTGGCCAGGTTGGTCTGGAACTCTTGGCCTCAAGCAATCCTCCCGCCCTGGCCTCCCAAAGTGCTAGGATTGCAGAGGTGAGCCACTGTGCCCAGCCTGTATAGCCTTTTATGTATATAAAAGGCAAAGGAAATAGGCAGGCTGTTCAAAATTAAAATCAAATGAACATAAAGTATAGGAAAAAGGTCCAACTTTGCAGATAGTGAAACATATATAGTTAAGGAGATAGAACGTCTCGCTCAGCAAAAGAGAAGAGATGTGAGAGGCTGACATACCCATTGATCAGAAGGCTCTGGAAAATGTAGGGGCACTGTTGATAGGAGTAGAAATAAATACAACCTTTCTGCAAGGCAGCCTGGCCTTGTGTATCACAGTTCAAGTGTGCATCTTTTTTGATCCAGCAATTCCACTTCTGCTTATCCCAACATCAGATTACATCGAGTGTGCACTTTTCAGTTTGTTTTGTATAACCAGTGGGTCAAAAGGTTAATTATGACACATCAGTACTATGGAACTCTAGGCTGCCATGAAAAAAAAATATGTGGCCATCCTTAGTGAATAATGTAAATATTGGACACAGGCAACATATGAGCAGTATAATAACAACATATTGATAATTCAAAAATAAGGTTCTAAAAGAGAATATACAACCTGAACCCACAGACACAAAATTGTATGTGCATAGCGAGCTGTCTATAATGGTGGGTACTTGTCATGACTTGTAGCCTTTTTTCTTTTTCTTTTTCTTTTTCTTTTTTTCTTTTTTTTTTGAGATGGAGTCTTGCTCTGTCACCCAGGCTGGAGTGCAGTGGCACAATCTAGGCTCACTGCAGCCTCCATCTCCCAGGTTCAAGCAATTCTCCTGCCTTAGCCTCCCGAGTAGCTGGGACTGCAGGCGTGTGCCGCCACACCCGGTTAGTTTTGTATTTTTAGTAGAAACAAGGTTTCTCCATGTTGGCCAGGCTGGTTCTGAACTCCCAACTTCAGGTGATCCGCCCACCTCAGCATCCCAAAGTGTTGGGATTACAGGCGTGAGCCACTGCGCCCAGCTTTCTATATCCCTTTCTTTTTTTCTCAAATTATCTATGTGAATGCATGTTAACTTCATATTTGGGAAAGGAAAGTAAATCTCTTCATTTCAGAAAAAAAAAGTTAAAAGTCGTGAAACTCCCAAGGGAAAACTCAAGAATCAGTCCCTTGTATTAACTCCATAATGAACAGATTTCTTTTTGTGGCCTTTCTGTTTTTTGATTTTTCTGCATGGTTTTAGGATTTCTAGAGTGACATTTTATATCTAAGAGTAGACTCAATAATGAAATAAAATATTTGACTATGACTTGATTTCTCCATTAATAAAAGGACCAAAATTGCTTTTTTAGTTCTATAGAATACCCTCTGAGACCTACGCATAATAAAAGTACCTGTCTACACGTTTCCTGAGAACATATACATCTATTATACATCAGTTTAAACGTTTTGAAAGTGATGTCTAGGCCGGGTGTGGTGGCTCACACCTGTAATCGCAGCACTTTGGGAGGGTGGCGTCTTGGGGGATCACTTGAGCCCAGGAGTTTGAGACCAGCCTGGGCAACATAGTGAGACCTCGTCTTTACAAAAAAATTAAAAACTTAGCAGGATGTGGTGGAGCCTGCCTGTGGTCCCAGCTACTCAGGAGGTTGAGGCGGGAGGATTGCTCAAACCCAGAACATCAAGGCCACGGTGAGCTATGGTTGTGCCGCTGCACTCCAGTCTAGGCAACAGAGCGAGGCTCTGTCTCAAAAAAAAAAAAAAAAAAGTAATTGTCTATATAGAACAATTGTTTTTATTTAAAGAATTTGTAATATGGGCGCATAACATGTACATCTGCATCAGATGGTAATCAGCGTTCTGTCTCTTTCCCACATTCAGATGTATCAGAATGTGGATGGCCGTGTTTCGGAACGTCCTCACATCTACCAAAACAGGCGACCTTTCAGCAGAGAGATGGATTCAGGGCCACTCTCTCCGCAGGCTCAGGTCGAAGATTCATAGAGGAACAATTTAGTTTTGAGGACTTCATCCCTCCACCTATCCCTAACAGGCTGTAGATTACCAAAACAAGATTAATTTCATCACTAAAAAAAATCTATTATCAACTGCTGCTTCGCCGGACTTTTCTCTAGAAGCTGTCTGCATTTACTCTTGTTTTCAAAGGGACTTTTGTAAAATCAAATCATCCTGTCACAAGGCAGAAGGAGCTGATAACGAACTTTACTGGAGCATCAACCTGCATCCAAGGCCTTCTCAGGCTGGCTTGAGTGAATTGTGTACCTGAAGTACAGTATATTCTTGTAAATACATAAAACAAAAGCATTTTGCTAAGGAGAAGCTAATATGATTTTTTAAATCTATGTTTTAAAATAATATGTAACTTTTTCAGCTATTTAGTGATATATTTTATGGATGGGAATAAAATTTCTACTACAGAATTACCCGTTATTGAATTATTTACATGGTATAATTAGGGCAGGTCTTAACTGGAGTTCATGAACCCCCTGAAATTGTGCACCCATAGCTACCTACACATTCCTTCCAGAGCACGTGTGCTTTTACCCCAAGATATAAAGGATGTGTAGGCGGCTATGGTGGTCACAGCCTAAGATTTCTGCAGCAACAAGAGTTGTATGGGGGGAGGTTTATAATGAATAGGCGTTCTAGCATAAAGAGTAATACATCACCTACACACTTTGGCGGCCTTCCCAGACTCAGGGCCAGTCAGAAGTAACATGGAGGATTAGTATTTTCAATAAAGTTACTCTTGTCCCCACAGTTCACTTTGTTTTATTTTTATTTATTTGTTTGTTTGATGTTTTAGTGACAGGGTCTCACCCTGTCCCCCAGGCTGGAGTGGAGTGATGAGATCACAGCTCACTGCAGCCTGAAACTCGGGGCCTCAAGCGATCCTCCCACCTCAGCCTCCTGAGTGGCTGGGACTACAAGCACATGCCACCACGCCGAGCTAATTTTAAAAGTTTTCTGTAGAGATAGTGTCTTGCTATGTTGCGCAGGCTGGTCACAAATTCTTGGCCTCAAACAGTCCTCTTGCCTCAGCCTCCTAAAGTGCTGGGATGACAGGTGTGAGCCACGGCGACCAGCCCCCTTTGTCCTTTGAAGCTTAGCACCCTCCATCCCGTAGGTTTATGAACTTGGCTTGTGCCCGCCCCAGCCCACCCACCTCCGCTTACACGACAGGTGCCACCAAATTCTGCCTCTTCTTTCTCCTCAACCTCCTGTTGTGTGTAGTGGTGAGGACAAGGGCTCTGGAACCGGTCAGCCCAGGTTGGAATTCTCTTTTCACCTGGTCTTAGCTGTGTCACCAGGGGCAAGTAACTCAACTTCTCTAGCCTCAGTTTCCTTTTCTGGAAAAGGGGACCACTAAGGACATCTCTTTTATAGAGTTGCTGGAAGAATTAGATGAATTAAATATATAACACATGTAGCTTAGAAATATAGAAATACAGAACATAAACATATATATCATGTAGCTCAGTGCCTGGCACCTAAGTGTGACCTAATAGCATCATCTGTGCTTTCCTTTATAGTTTTAATCCTTTGCCTAGTACCAGGTCACCATAAACTCCCTTAGATTACCAGTCCTTTTAATGGCAGCCGTGGCCTATCTGGAATGGCCACTGCAAAGATGCTGGCTGTGGTGTGGGAGCCACAGGGGCTGTGAGCTCCATGGAGCTGGCGGGAGCCCCGCCCTCTTTTGAGATGGCAGAGCGGGAGCCCCACCCTCCTGGGAGCAGCTGCCACCAGACTAGTGGTGGCTGCGGACTCAGGCATCCCTGCGCTCCCGGCTGGGGAAGCCCTTCCTGCCCCCACTGCTCACAAGTGTCTGCCCTTGCTGCCTGGCCTCTTCCCACTCCTGGTGGCACTCAGATTTTGGAGCAAAGTTGAGGCTGAGCCCCATGCGCTGTCGCCACCCTGCCAGGTGTGTGTGCACTTAGGGTGGCGCTGACATGCCAGCTCCCTGCTGCCTTGGCCCTCTCTGGACTTTGGACACCGACCAGCACAGGAGGGAGGCCAAGCCAGGGCTGAGGGTGGCTGGGCATGGGCCTGCAGGTGCCCCTCAGTAGGAACAGCCTGGGCACCGTGGATGATATAATTGATGGTAGCAGGAGGCAGATAGGCTCCTGGGCAGAAGGGGTCAGGTCCCCAGTGAAGCCCCACCTTCAAGCCAGGGACTGCCTGAAGCATGGGGGCCAAGCTGTCAGTTCCAGATGGAGTCCCCAGCAGGGAGTGAGAAATTCTGGTGCTTTTTCCGCTGGCCCATGCAACAACAATCAGCATGTACTTTCTCCTTTCTGAAGCCCATTAACCTCTCCACTTTCTGCACCCTCCTCCCTGCCCCCTACAACTCAGCCAGACTTGCAGAGACCTCAGGACAACTTGCCTGTGGAAAGGAGCTACCCACTTCGGGTCTTCTGAGAGCTGTTCTGTTGCTCAGTGAAGCTCCTCTCTGCCTTGTTCACCCTCCACGTGTCTGAGTGCCTCATTCTTCCTGGACACTGGACAAGAACTTCGGACCCCACTGAAAGGTGGGACTGAAAGAACTGTACCAACCTGGTGACAAGGGGAGAAGACATGTGGCCCTCCAGGGGACCCAGACCTAGGGGCTCCCCAAGCCAGGGCTGTGACAGCCTCTTTGGGGCTCTGTGGTTCCTGGCGTCTCCAAGCTGCCAGGCCACCGTGTTCCCCTCATCCAGACACGGGTGCCTGCAGCGGAAGCAGCATGTGGTATATCTAGCCCAGCTGTAGCCTCATCCTGAGCTGGCCCCCGTGCCAGTGCCTGGAGCTGCGCACCCTGCTGCAGCAGTGAGCGTGCCTGGCTGCACACAGTGGTCAGACCCTTGGTCACTAACCCACGCAACCCTCCTGGCTCTGTGCCTGGTTTGCCTTTGGCAGGTGTGGGATCTGGGCCCATAGTGCAAGCTGAGCCAGCCTGCTGGGCTGCGTGGGCAGAATAAGCCCAGAGGCTGCCAGCAATACTCAGGCAGAAGGCATCGCGAGCCACAAAGGTTTCCAGCTGGCAAAGCAACACCCCAAGGATCCCGTGACTCCTTCCTCACCTAACTCTTCCTCCAATCTCTCCAACTTTCAGGGTTTTCTCTAAGCCACTTCCTAAAGTACTGATTTGCATATGTTGCTGCCTGCAGGGCTCCCTGGGGTCTAGCAGCTAGTTCCCAGGGTCTAGTAGCAAAAGTCACACTCTCTTCCTAGCACTCCAAGCACTGGCAGCCTGGCCTCAGCATTTTCAGCACTGGCTGCCTAGCCTGTCCCTCTAGCGAGTCTGTATATATGTCCCTCTAGCGAGTCTGTATATATGTCCCTCTAGCGAGTCTTGAACATTCCCACCTCCAGTTTTCCTTGTTTTCACCCTCCATCTCCTTGGAATGTCAACTTCTGCTCTTCCTAGTTATATCCTTGCTTCCTGACCAGACTTCAGCTCTTTCTTCTCTTTAAGGTCTTTGCCAGTTTCCACGCCCATGAGTGATGGCTTCCTGTAGTGAAATGTAAGGGCTTCTGGTCTGTATCTTAAGGTGGAGCCTGCCTACTTTATGCTGTTATTTATCTTCTTAAGTAAATGTCCCGTCTTCTCAACATGATTTTAAGAAGTTTGAAAGCAAATATGATTTATGCCAAGTTGTATGCTTAACTCTGACTTGGGTATACAGTCAAGATACAATAAGTATACATAGTCAATCACTTTTTTACCTACTCAAGTAAAAACATAAAATATACTTGATATTAAAAATCAAATCATTCTGACCTGGCGCAGTGGCTCACGCCTGTAATCCCAGCACTTTGGGAGGCCGAGGCAGGTGGATCACGAGGTCAGGAGTTCAAGACCAGCCTGGCCAAGATGGTGAAACCCCCTCTCTACTAAAAAATACAAAAATTAGCCGGACGTGGTGGTGGGCACCTGTAATCCCAGCTACTCGGGAGCCTGAGGCAGAGAATTGTTTGAACCTGGGAAACAGAGGTTGCAGTGAGCCGAGAGCATGCCGCTGCACTCCAGCCTGAGCGACAGAGGGAAACTCTGTCTCAAAAGAAAAAAAAATCAAACTTTTAAATTTTTACCTATAATAATAAGTGGAACCTTTTATTTGCACAACCCAAATCCCAAAATACTTCTTTGGGAAAACTACTGATAAAGTTTGCGGTATGGGCTGGCTGCAGTGGTTCATGCCTGTAACCTCAGCACTTTGGGAGGCTGCGATGAGAAACTTGAGGCCAAGAATTCAAGACCAGCCTGGGCTATGTGGTGAGAGACCCCATCTCTACAAAAATATTTAAAAATTAAAAAACTAGCTAGGCGTGGTGGTGTGTATCCGCAGTCCCAGCTACAAGGGAGGCTCTGGTGGGAGGATGGCTGAAAGGAGTTCAAGGCTGTAGTGAGCCATGATCACACCATTGCACTCCAGCCTGGGCTACAGAGTGAGACCCTGTCTCTGAAAAAATAAAAACGTTTGAGGTACATTTTCCCCATCTTCTTGTTAAATATATTTACACGACTGGGCACGGTGGCTCACGCCTCTAATCCCAGCACTTTGGGAGGCCGAGGTGGACGGATCACCTGAGGTCGGGAGTTGGAGACCTGCCTGACTAACATGGAGAAACCCCGTCTCTACTAAAAATACAAAATTAGCCGGGCATGGTGGTGCATGCCTGTAATCCCAGCGACTCGGGAGGCTGAGGCAGGAGAATCGCTTGAAACCGGGAGGTGGAGATTGTGGTGGGCTGAGATGGAGCCATTGCACTCCAGCCTGGGCAACAAGAGCAAAACTCCATCTCAAACAAACAAATGAACAAACAACAACAACAACTAGATAGATAGATAGATAGATAGATAGATGGATGATAGATACACTGCACACACGTAGTTACATACACACACAAATCTTTGTTTTTTGTGTAGATGAAATCACACTGGCTATATTGTCAGACATGCCTTTTGTTCTTTACAATGTGTCAATATTTGCCCAATATGCATATCCGTGAAGCCCTTGTTATGTGCTAGGCGTTGTGCAGGGAACTAGATGTGTGTTATCTCATTTAATCTTCATAACTACCTTATGAAGAAGGTTCTAAACTTATACCATTTTTTTCTGAGGAAATTGAAACTTGAGCTAATAACTTGCCATCTCCAATCTCCTGTTAACACTTACCTTGAGATGACTGTTGGGTTCTATTATGTGATTTTCTGTATTTCTTTATTTTTGTTTCTTAGCATTTTGTGATTCTCATTTTGTCTCTTTTTCTCATACCTGTCTTTATTTTTTATTGTGATTTAAAAAAACACATAAAATGTACCCCTCTAACCATTTTTAAGTGTAAATGGAATCATGTTAAGTCACACTGTTGTGAAACAGATCTCCAGAGCTCTTTCCGTCTTGCCAATCTGAAACTCTCGACCCTTTAAATA